ATATATATATATAAATAGAAATATACTGTTCACTCAGTATCACTGTTGACTGTTGTTATCATGTTCAGTCTTATTGATTCCATCAGACAACCTATATTAGTGTTTTATGCAAACGTCCTGTCATTATGTATATCTTTTCGATTGCCCAGAGACACACACCAAGCACGCTATGATGTCATGATACGTGCACTACGCAAATCAGTTTAACTACAATAAAGAGCAATGAACAATGAAAACCAACAGAGAAGATCCTGAAATAAATCATTCATTTCATTTGGAGATCCTTACCCTTGCAGAGTACAAACGGCCCAGTGAAGGAAGTCCAGTTTGGAAGCTTCCGCACTCTGGTCCACTCAGAAGGATGACCTGTCTTTCGTCTACATAGCAGAATGTCTCGCTTGCAGCTGTGGACCAGATCTGGCTTGTGAACAAAAGAATATATCCCTTGACCTGAAAACAAAACAGTTTAATATATTCAATAGAACAAAAAGGCGGGAGTGGATGTTCTGTTTTTTAATGCGCACATTTGTGAAGATCAAGTGTGAACCCATCATGATATCACCTGTTGGTTTGTGAAGAATGGTTTTGAAGCCTCAAGTTTGGTATTATGGCTGTCGCCATGACATAGCCAGAGGCAGTGACATACTGTAACACACGTTATCGTATTACAGAGTACATTTAAGTATGTTTCTGAACGAATTTTAAGCTTGACTGTTTGATCTGAGCTTCGTGCGCTGTGCTGGATAGATTTACTGAGAGTGACTTGTCAATCAGAAGGTAGCAACGCCCTAAAGGATATCCAGCTTGAATCATCTATTTTACTCTAAATGGGACCATAATTTACTAAATGAACATCATGCTTTATGGAAGAAGGCTTGAAACTAGCAATTAAGACCATAAACTCATAAGGAAACTCTTTACTGAACTAATAAATCAAGTGAGAAGTAGGCTCATTTCTCAATAAGACTCCATATTATCGAACTTTTGCCAATTGAGACGCTACTGTCAATGGTGTGAATGATCAACAAAATGGGCATTTACACCTTGTAATACATGTTTTCTTATCTCCACTGAGGTATTCTGAACAGATTTTTGCATTTTTGCTTGGCTTCCTGTCCTTTCAGCAACGTTAAAAGAAGGGCATCAGGACTCAGATAAAAGTTCTGCTTAAGCTATGCTCAAAACAGGGAATATTGAAGGTTATGATCCTGTCTGGATAGTAAGATAATCACCAGCAGCACAATCATTATGATTACTTGCTCAACTGCAGATAGGTTAAGACAGGGCTGGACTGTTAACCTACCTGTTCGAGGGAAACAGGCGGAGCAGGCCTGCAGAAACTCATGGGTGGAGTACAGGGGATTAGAGACCGCAACCTGTGCTTGGTTAGTCTTCTCCTTTGTTGCAAGAGTAGGAAAAATATTTCAGTTAACAATAACAAAACAAAAAATAGAGCAGGTAACACAAGCCAGATAAGCAGTCTTACTTTGTTGTTATTCTTTGGAGGCCGCTCTACTGGAGCTGCAGTACTTTGAGAGCATGTGTTACCTGAGGAGCAATGAGAGAAAATAAGTGAGAAATTATGCATAAGTGTGGTGTGTACACACATTGTAGTAAATGGGATAAAACATGTACAAACAATAGTATGGTCTTTTATAAAAAAAAAGGGAAAATTGGTTGCTTGTTTTGCTGTATTTTGTGTATTCTCATTTGTACCTGTATCATACATTTATTGTGTAAACATACATTTAACAGCTTTGTATATGAGCCATGACATGTAAGCAAAGTGTTTCCTGCCCTCCTCAACTTTGACAACGTGTTTTGTGAAAATGTTTTTTTCTTGTAAATACTTCATATTTCCACTTCTTTGGGGCACTAACCCATGAAATTCAAGGTGTATATATATATAAAGTAAATAAAGTCTTTTACATGAAACAGACATTGCTTCATTTAGAGAGGCCACAAAGCAAAATAGGCTGAGAACCCCTGCTGTGGGTCAAAGCCTCCTGCCTTGCCAATAATATAATAAGTCACCAATGAATCATAATTACCAGTTGAGCTGAAATCAGGACGCAAGCCCAGGCCTGTTGCCCCAAAGGAGATTGGTGGAAAAGCAGCTGGAGCTTTCACAGAGGGAAACGGGTCCAGGGCATCAAGGGAGTCAAGCTGGTTCACAGATGTCACACCAAGTTTAGAACCATCACCACTCAGACCACCTGGATCAGAGACAGCCTCCATGGGATCTAGTTCATCTAACAAATCATCAAGGGACTTCTCCCCTGCTTCCAGTTCTGTTTTGGACCTGTTCTCAGCAGCAGCGTCACTTGGATTCGCATCCAAGAAGTCATCCAAGGAATCAAGGCCATCCAGAGCATCCAAGGCAACAGAGGTCAGTGCTAAGTTTGGGGCGCCAACTCCAATTCCAGAGGTCGAGAGGTCATCTAGGGCATCCAGTGTCACAGTCGTGGTGCTGTGCCCACCACCTGAAAAGAAGTCCAGGGAGTTGAGCTGGCTGACAGTCGAGCTGAAGAAGGCCGGGGGTAGCTGGGGTGTTGGGGCGGGCAGGATAGAAGGAACTGTGCGTGTGCAAGTGGATTTCTTGCTGGGGACTGAGAAGGCTGCCTGAGTTTGGGTCTGGAAAACACAAAGAAAGAAACTTGAAAGAAGAAATGCAACAGAATGTAAATAACTGCACTTAAACACTGCACTTACATAGCGCCTTTCTAGTCTTCCAACCACTCCAACTTACCTCCTAAGCCACAGCCACCAATAACTGGGCAAAGCTCTGCAGAGGTTTTTGGGTTTTCTTAGCTCATTGTTTTGGTTTTTAATGGCCCACAAACTTATATCAGTACTGTTTCTATTGGGAAAGCTCTAATAAACACACTGTACACTACCTGAGCAGCACTAAAACGCAAATAAACAACATCACAAGACGTTTCCATCCAAATGTATTGCACATTTTAACCGAATTACAAGTAAATTGGCAAAAGAAAATGTGAATAAATGCTTGTTTCCATTCACTGCTGCTATGCAATTATGTTATGTTGTCATGAGTTGGTTCATCAAGATAAGCAGTAGGTGGCGCCAATTCTCAAGTTGGAAAACCAGAAGAAGAGGGCATAATTAAGAAGTCTAAAAAGTTTGTTTTATGCATAAATGTTAGGAAAGTTACATCAGATCTGTATGTGCAGATCAAACATGTGAAGTTTCGTTGCAGTCAGATCATGTATGCAGAAGTTGTGACAACTTTCTGTTTTCATGGCGAAGGATCGAAATTGGACGCCACGCCACGTCCACGCTGTTCGACGGAATAACGTGAATAGCACAACTTTTAATGGTGAATGTCTTTAGATGGCTGTGTCCAAGTGTGGAGTCGATCCGATAAATTCCCTGCATGCAATGCAACGGCGAAACATTGCCAGAAATTGACCACAAAATCCAAAATGGCTGGACTTCTCTGTTTTAGTTTGAATATGGTTCCAAGAGCCTTTTCTGCTTCTTTTATCACGATACAAATTGGTATCCGTTTCGTACATGTCATGCCTTATCCGGTTTTTGGGGCGCTTGATTTGGAGGGGTGAAGAGCAACTATGGTTCTCAAACGATTGAAATTTTGTTGCAAATTTCCATTGAGCATTCAGGCATGTTGCGGCCGCAAAATATGAGAGCTGTCGAACAGTCAGCAAATAATAATAATAATTGCCTAGAGATACAAGTAGTGCCTCCCAGCGTCGCTGGCTCGTGTCCCTAATGAGCTTTTTCATTGTCTGCTGGATGTGTAAATAGGGAACTGTTTTCTAAACATGGTTAGCATATAACTTTCTAAGCATACTGGTACTAATATTGTTAAAGAAGCTTAGTTTGGCAAATAAAGCTATCAGATGAATGGAAGCTTTGAAAGGGGCATTTACACACCTTGTTCTTCTTTCTTAAGAGTCTGCTTTTTGTTGTCTTTCTTTCTGGAAACTAATGCACATTAGTCTGGTTTCATGATGTGTCTGCTTACAGTGTTTGTTTTTCGTAGGTTCATTTTCAAACTTCATGCTGTTATAATAGTGGAGATTTTGCGTTATATACATGGTGCTTCCAATCTTCCATCTTCAGGCAATGCTGTTGTCTAGCAAAGCAAGAACACCTTAATTTCATTAATTAAGTATTCTACTGGTCGTTCAAGGGACAAACGGGGAGCAAAAACACAGACTTTACCTCAGTTGGCTCGCTGCTCATTCTAGGAAGGCGAGTCGACAGGCTGTCTAAGTCCGTCGCCATCAGGCTCACGAGTCTTCCAAACTGTCTACTAGTCGGGTACTGGTTGGAGGAGACATGACTTGTGGAGGTATGCAGACTTTGTGGCGATGCTCGGAAAGCTGACTGAAGGATGGCAAGGAAATTGTATATATATACTTTTGATTGTTTTTTGAGAATAATTAATCGATTTGAAAAACACACACCTGCCTGTATCGTTAATGCCAGCACGATTTGATATAATCAAAGTCAAAAATACACAGCCTTGGTAGCAAGCCACTCAGAGGATTCATACCATTTCCTAAAATGGATCACAGGCACGCTGGACATGAGAGAGAAGAGGAAACGGACAGGAATAATTGAGATTATAATCAAGTGTAATAAAATAAATGTCAATGAGAAGAGGATCCCGACCAAATATCTGAAAAGGGGAATGAGTAAAGTCTGAACAACAATTTATATCTGGAAAAACAGGGAAAACATGCGATAATCACTGATTCCGGTGGATTTACTCATGTGATGGAAACCTTAAAAATGTGTTTGCTAAAAGTAAATGTTGTGATTAGGAGGAAGATATTTGAAAAGCTAAATGGTTGGTGGAATGTTTAGGAGATAGTGTAGTGAGCATGTGGAATTTGCCTTGGATGCCGTCACGAGTAGTCTATGTTTTCATTTTGGTGTGCATCTCGTTGGCGAATAACAGGCTCCTTCCTGGGGAAAGTAACAGAAGTAAAGACTGGATATGGACTTAGACACGAAGCTGATGACCGAATAAGGCCAAATGTGCCATTTATATAGGTATTTACAGAATAACAAAAAGTATTAATTTATGTATCCAGAATGTATTTCCCCTAATAAAGCTAATACTAATTTATTATGATTATGTTCGATGATAACAACTACCAGTCAAAAGTTTTGGGACACACCTTTGTCATTAAATGGTTTTTGCTTTATTTTCATGACTATTTACATTTGTAGAATTCTCACTGAAAGCATCAAAACTATGAAATGAGAACACATATGGAATTATTGGTAGTAAACAAAAAGGTGTGAAATAACTCAAAAACATGTTTTATATTTTACCATTTTTTCTTTCAAAAGTAGAACCACCCTTTGCTTGATTACTGCTTGCACACTCTTTGGATTCTCTCGATGAAGCTTTCATTGTAGGTCAGTCACCTGAACATGGTTTTACCAAAGCAGTCAATTGAAGGAGTTCCCAGAGATGCTGACACTTGTTGGCCTTTCGGCCTTCACTCTGCGGTCCATCTCATCCCAAACCACTCTCGATTGTTCTAGGTCAGTGACTGTGGAGGCCAGATCATCTGGTGTGCAGCACTGCCGATCCACTGTGAAAAATAAATGATTGCCATACTTAAACAACTAAAACAGATGGGATGCATGAGCTCAGGATGCAGTGGATTCCAGCTGTATGTTCAGTGCCCAAGAATAAATCCCCAACAGTTGTCACTAGTAAAGCACCCTCTCACACCATCATATACATCCTCCTTCATGCTTCACAAGTGGAATCATGCAGTAGAGACCATCTGTTCACCTTCGCGTCGACATATAGACATCGGCGGGGAACCAAGATCAAATTTTGGACTCAATCAGATCCCTCATATAGCACAGATTTCCACTTGGTCTGATATGTCCATTCCTTGTGTTTCTTGATCCCAAACATATCTCTTCTGGCTTGTTGCTTTTCCTTAGTAGTGTTTTTTTAGGCAGTATTTGACCATAAAGGCCTGATTCGCGCGTCTTCCTCTGAACAAAGTTGATGTGGAGATGTGTCTGCTACTAGAAACTCTGTGTGGCATTCATCTGGGTCTAATCTGAGGTGGCTGTTAACTTGCGATTTCTGAGGCTTGGTGACTCGGAGAAGGTCTCATCTTCAGCAGCAGGAGGTGGACTCCTGGTCTTCCTTTCCTGGGGTGGTTTCTCATGGTGAGCCAGTTTCGTCGTTAGCGCTGATGGTTTTTTTGCCGACTGGCACTTGGGGACACATTCAAAGTTTTTGACAATTTTCCAGACTGGGACTGGACCTTTCAGTTCTTAAAGTAATGATGGACTGTCGTTTCTTTTTACTTAGGCTGATGGTTCTTGGCCATAATATGAATTCTAACAAGTTGTTCAAATAGGGCTGTCAGCCTGTGTACCCAAACCTGACTTCTGCACAACCACAACTGATTAGTCCCAACCCCATTAAGAAGGCAAAGAAATTCCACAAATGCAACCCTGACAAGGCACACCTGTGAAGTGGAAAACCATTTCAGGCCAAGGGTTTTCAGCGCTGTCAACAAAGCAAAGGGTGGCTACTTTTGAGGGAATCTAAAATATGAAACATATTTAGGAGTGCCCATAAAACCAAAACACATCAAACCAAACAAAACATATTTCACACTATTGAATAAACTAAACCATCACTTCCATAATGTCGCTCATCATAACACCTTTTGGAGCCTTCAGTGAGGAATCCCAAAATGCAACAACCAAATCAAAACTACACAATCATCTAACAATCAGCCTCCAAAATAAAACATAGTCATGAAAAATAAACAGGAAAAACAAAAGACAACCAAAACACATTATAAACATGAGCCAACGGTCGGTCCAAACTCATATAACTGGTAGTGTATATTATAAAATTACTTACACTGTGATATAAGATTTTACCCATATATAGATAGACCGCCAAGACAGAGCTGAAGACGGAGAAAATCCTTAATAATACTTTTACTAACCTTTGCGCTGACATACGGTTTTCGATTTTTTAGTCCCAGATGGATGGCCAGCTCCTGCGCAAGCTCATTCACCTGCTTGTCCTATCAACAGTTAAACATAAAAAACAAACCAAATTAATACAGTGTATCTTGGAACTGATCCACAAAAACAATCAATCTTGATTAATCCTCTTGCATTTACTTTTCATGTAACCAACGCTTAAAAGAGACATTTTAAAAGAGGTCCAGTGTGTAGCATCTTGTGATATATAGTCGTGTAGATATAAGGATAAAGGACAGCGGCCACAAAACTCGTGAAAAATGTGAATGGCCCTCTCTAGAGTTTGTTTGGTTAATCTGTTCTGGGCTACTGTAGAAACATGGTGTCCCGCGGCATCTGCAAATATAAAAGACTCATTTTTAAGTAACTAAAACATAACGATTCTTATTTTTAGGTGATTATATATTAATAAAAATATAGATTTCTGCATATTATATTCCATTTCTGCCAATAGATCCTCCCAAATGTTACACACTGGAACTGGAGCATTTCACCAATCCACTGTAGTTTCTCCTTCGTGCTTGGAAGAGTAGGGTGAAGAAAGGGAGTTGCTGTCTGCAACTACACTGAAGTTTTTAATGACAACACTAAATCCTACACACTGACAACATTTCTTATACATATTAGCATCGACTCAAATTCTGTCCTTCCTTTACCAGACGACTGATGAGCAGACAGTCCGTGGTGCAGTTGTAGGCTTCCCTGTACTTCCCTAGCTCCTTCAAACAAAGTGCCTTCCTGTAGAGGGCCTTGCGGCTTTCCTTACACACTTTCAGAGCTCTGTCGCAGTCCTTCACGCCTTGATCATATTCGCCCTGCGGAAAACATGAGAGATGAAAGTAAAGGAAGAGGTCAAATGAACTCAAGCTCAGCCCACAAATAAGGTGTACATAAATCAATTAAATCAGTTTCATTTCAAGCACATAGGTTCATATTAGTATAAAAACAAAATACAACATGACTCAATAAGCAAACAGTTTGAATTCTATACTTCATTTTAAAGTCCAGTTTTCACAAAAACAGATGATTGACAGTTAGATAATTGAGGACAGCCACATTAACTTTTAACTGCCTCACTGGAGTGATCTCATTCACATTCAGTGTATAAAATGCTCAAATGCCAAATTGCCATCATACATTTGCTAAAATCCAAAACTATCTCTCACCAAGCAAACAAGACAAGAGTCTACTGCTAGTTACACTAGCGGCTCTGTCTGGCTGTACTTAGGCACAGCAGTGCTTTAAACTAAATGCTAACATCAATTTTCTAATATGCTACAATTACTATGCTGACACCCCCCAACCACACACAAAATAATAAATGACTTTGTAATCAATACAACACTCAATACTAGCACTTATAGATGTATTGTAATGTTATGGGGGAAAATGTAACTCAACTGTGGAAAGAATACGTAACTGTGATATGAATACGAACAGAATATGCCCTGGAAGAAAGATACGGGGTGGAGGAGTTTTGTCAGGTTGTGCTGAGTAAGTTCAGGTCATGATGACCAGGGAAGAATGTTTCCGTACAAGAAAAGACGATCTTTGTCAAATATGGGTAAAGAATGGGTTTCAGACATTATATTCCAAACATTGTCTAGAGTCATCATCTGCACGAAGGTATATATACACATGAGTGATTTCTTTGTTCAAGTTCAGTTGAGTTTCTAGACAACTTGGTTTGCTCGTATCCTGTTTGATGCAAATAAACCTAAACATGAAACGAAGCTGCCAGTTCTACTCGTCGTTTGTGAGTCTGTGCCTCTGCTTTCGGTTCCTTTAGGGGGATTTGTGGTCTATGATTAATGATTGATTTGGGTATATTGATATAAATAAAATAAACCTATAGTATATGCTGAGTGAAACTGGCTGCATTTTATTATGTGTTGGCTGTGCCCTGCTGCAGTTTAATAAACACAATTCTTCTGCTTAAGACGAGGTCTGTCTCAGACTCATTTACGTTTCTATTACAGGACCAAAATGATGGATCAGTGGTTTTTATTAGCCCAGGCAGCTAGTGTGGCCCATAAAAACCCTGTTCAGAGTGAAAAAGGAGTCATTAAACAAGTGATCCCAAATGGAAAGCACAACTAAATGGGACTATAAAAAAACATAAATAATGTATAAAACAGCAGTAAGACAGGCAAATATTTTGAATTGAGAAAAACACAGTTTTACAAGTTCATTTTAGATATGAATTGTCATAATATACATTACATATAATCTATATATTCAAACATATTCATATTTGGGTCTTTCAAAGTTTGTCACAACCCTTACCAGCCCTTGTCACAGTCTAAATGTCTTTCTGAGCCTCACTGAAACAATCTGTTGCAAATATGTTGGGTAAGTCTCACCATACTGTGGTAGGCAGCAGCCCGGTTGACATACAGGCTCTCCAGCAAAGCCTCTGGGATCTGGAGAGCCTCTGCTGTAGCGTAGTGGGAGACATTCAAGCCTTCACTGAACTCTCTCACCGCCTGCTCCCACTCTCTGTCTCGGAACAAAGCATTGCCCTCCTCGAGCAGGTTGCACACTAACTGGGTCAGGAAGTCCTGGGAGGAGGAGAAAAAACAAACATACATATATATATATATATATATATAATTCTGGTGGTTTGTCTCAAAAGCTCTGGACCCCAGATCCAAGTTTTTTATTTTGTTGATATCTGCCATGTGCAGCACAACTTTTTCCAGACACTACACATGGGTTTGTAAGAACAGGAGGAATAATTACACCAACCAGTAACTTCTTTTTTAAAGTTAGCATTGAGATAGATCTGAAACCGTCCTTCAATAAAAACCAACACTGCCTCCAAGAAGAGAATGTGCAAAATAAATTCCAGAAATATGCCCAGTCCTTGATTTTACATGCAGCCAGGAATGAAGGGAAAGGTGACAGGAAAGACAAGACAGAGGAGTGTAAGGGAGAAACAAAACAAGGTATGACCAAGTGTGGATCATAATATGCATGTGTAACAGTGCAAGAGACAAACATAACATTGTGTTTGTAATAACAGTTGGTACCTGGTAGCCTTCAGGGTCTGGATAAGCCAGGGAAGACCTAGAACACAAGACGTAAACTTGCTCAGAAAAGAACTGAGTTAGCTCAGTTATCAATATTATAAGTACTTCAGGGCCAGGGTAGGTTTCACTTTCTACCAAGGGTGTGCTCAGTTTGAAAAAACAACCATCTCACTGTATAAAGTTCAGAGATTTGCTTATCTCCTCCTTGCGTTTCCGTCTGGCAGGGTCCATCGCTCGGTCACTGGGAAGAAGACAAAAAGACCACAAGTGGGTAAAGCAGCAAAAGACTGACTGATGCTCTGCTGACGGTGAAACGTAGCTGCTGCACGCCCACTTCCTCTAGAAGCAGAAAGCAAGAAACAACCAACTGTTTGCCACAAATCACACTCACTGAGCATGTGTTCGTGTCCATTCATTATAAGCACAAGCATATAATGGGGAACATCCCTTGCATGTTCCCCTGGCTGTCATGGCGCGACTGGGCCAACTTCAGAAACACCTACCTGAAGAAAGGAGGAAGTTCATTGAACCCAAGCAAAGTTGAAAAGCGTGTGGTGTCAAGCAAAAAGGGGGAGTAAAGACGGGACAGCTCTCTGCGGATGAAGGGTCGCGCTGGTCCTGATAAACAGCGAGCCGAGGAGGAAGAGACAAGACGAGGCTTCGTGTCTGACTTCGCACTCCCCGCTTAACTTTCGATTCCCTGCAACCCAGTCCATCCCTGAACCAGCTGCCAAATGCAAATCTTCTTCTTTGCATTTTTCTTGGCGGACTGCAAGACCAACTTTTAGTTTCCTGCTGCCACCTACAGTACCGGAGTATGTACAATAAGGTCTACTTTACATTAGTGTGTAACATATGATGAGCACTCTCTCTTCAGCTGCCAATATTATATGTTAAAACATGTTATACCTGTATTTGTTTACCAGTGTGTGTTATTGATGGTCTGTACATAAACTGCATAATTAAAAGTTATATTTCTGTTTTAATGATGATGTGAGGATGTGCCATTGAGACACCTGATGGAGCTCTTTGCTTTGGTATCTTCTATGGATACCTTTTCTTTCTTTGACCTGTTGTTGTAAATAAACCATACTTTTTATACACGGCCCCTAACTTTAGGGACACTATGTTTCTTTTTGTAACATAATTATGACTTTTTTTAAGCATTTAATAATTACAATAGCAACCACATTTGAATTATACCGGGGTGCAAAATGCACATTTTCATACATTTTAGTAATAATGTAAATTTTAACAGCATCATTGATGTGTTTAATCACAGTATATTCATATACTGTGATAACACGTTTTAGGGTGGAGTACCTCTTTAAATGGGAATAAATATATAAAACCCCAAAACACTCAGATGATTAAATAATAGGCAGCACAAAAGTGGATTTTCAAAAAGCCGGTTTTATTTCCCCCCAAAATTAAAACATTTACAAAATATACAATAAAGGCCCGGTCCAATAAATATGTCAACTAAACAGAACTTAACATAAACTGAATATGACCTAACAAAGATAAACTGAACACAAACAATTAATTAACTATTTCTCTCAACAATCACAAGCCTCAAACACAGCGAGCTCCACACTGCAGGTGTGTTTGAGGCTCTTCAGCACCAGCAGAGACATGATGACAGCAGAGACTGATGACAGCAAACTGATGACAGCGAGACGATGATGAAGCAGAGGCTATGCGCAGAGAATGTGACAGCAGAGAGCGCTTCTGGGAGGAGTTAGTGGCATAACAGTCTCTGGTCCCAGACGCCTCACAGAAGACGCTGTGTGCGGACAGAGATCGGGGGGGCTCCCGGGACTGGTGGAGGGTCACCTCATGCTGACCTGTCGGCTCCTCCGCAGCCGTTAAGCGGCAGCGGTACCGGGGGAGACCGGCGCTGTTGTGTCGGAAAGCTTTACGGGTAATCTTAGCACATATTAGCCAGCTGCACAAACACGGGGGAGATCACTGTTAACTACTTCCGCTTATGTTAGGAACGCTCTCGCCAGGCCGTTCGGTCAATCAGAGCAGCTCCTCCGTCTCCCTCCCTGCCCGCCTATAGCCGAGCGGAAGGCCGTGCAGTGGCGGGTCTGACGCAATCAGAGGGGCCCTGCAGAGTGTTTGATCACGTGGATGGGAGCGTTCAGGGCGTAGAAAATATCAGGCGACTTGCCAACTTCATTGATGGGAGGATGAGTAGGATGAGATGAGAGATGATGATGATGATGGATGTGATATGACGAGGATGTGAGGAGGTGAGGAGGATGATAGATGATGATGAGATGATGAGGATGATGAGAGGATGCAGTGAGGAGGAATGATGAAGGGGATGAGGGATGATGAGGAGGATGATGAAGGGGATGAGGATGAGGAGGATAGAGAGGATGAGGAGGACTGAGGAGGAGGATGAGTGATGATGATAGAGGATGTGAGGAGGAATGATGATGATGGATGATGAGGGATTAGGAGGAATGATGATGATGAGATGATGAGAGGATGAGATGGGAGGATGATGAGGAGGATGGAGGATCGAGGGGATGATGATGATGATGAGGAGGATGATGATGAGGAGGATGATGAGCCCAACCAGCAGCTATGGTTTAACTGTGATGTCCGTGCTACTCTCCACGTACTGACCGCAGCCTTCAACAGCAGTCAAACAGACAGAGAAGGACTATAAACAACAAGTGGAGTCCTAAAAGATTGATTTCATTGTGCCAACCGCGCTTCCAGCTGGTCTCTCAGCTGAAGCTGCTCTGCAGAGTGCCCATCGATGTGTTGGTACCTCACCTGTAGTCTCGCTCTAGTGTTTTTTGATTTTCATACGTCTGCTTGCAGCTAACAGTACTCAACCATGCTCGGGATTGTAAACAAATCTCCATTATAAAGGTGTGTGTGTGTGTGTGTGTGTGTGTGTGTGTCTCAAGTAAACTTCACACATTTTGCTACAGGAAGAAAGAAGGGTTTTGATGTATAAGTACAAAGAAATGTTTTTTTTCGGATACATTGTTAAGATGTGTATAGTGTGACCAGGGGTGTGATCTAAAAGGGTTAAAAAGGCTTTTTCATCTCTACTTTAAATCCATCACTCCCTCATTCCCAAACAACCATGGTGCCCAAACAATGCCCTAAAACCACTGAATAAATCACACGTGAGTAAGTGCAATATTCAAATGACTGTATGAAACGTTTTATTGCCTTTTTATATCTTGTAAAGAACATTTTTATTTTTTTTTCTCTTCTGTAATGGAGCCTCCCAGACACATTTCACACAATTGTACTTGTTTGGCAATAATAAACCTGTAAAAACAGCCTTTGGTTCAGTGAACCTGAGCAAAGCCTTAATCCATCACAACTGCACAAATTTTTATGAAATAAAACCAAGGTACAACAGACAGCTTGAACAGAAGTACAGAGAATTTCATGTCAAAGTGTCATTTAAGAAATAAGTACTAGGATTCTTTGTAGTTTTCATGTTCACTCACTGTTATCTTCTGCTACCCAACTAACTGAGAGGCTAAATGTAAGACCTGTTAACCTGTCTTTACCTAGGATACCATAGTCATTTGAGTATTCCTTATTTCTAACTTAACTAACTTACTTTTACTTACTTTTCCACTCATGAAAATTGGACAGCTGTGTCTTTAGAAGTGGGTATAGTATACCCAGCGCTGACTCTGTATATCTGCGTATACCCTGCACTACACCACTGGACATTAAAATAAAAAAACAAACAAAAATAAAACAATAAATAAAAAATAAAACACAAAGCCAATAAATTACAACACAGTGAATGTTTCTTATTTTTCCCCACAAAGCTACAGACGGTATTTCCGACAAACTAGATGTGGAAGCGTTGAAAAGAAGCCCCCTGAACGCACCGTTGTAGTCTAGTTGAACTACAAGTCCCTTGTGTCGCAGCTCCGTGCTCGTCAAGTCAGACAGTGTGCAGGATTTGGTTTTGAACGTCCGGAGCGAGCGGGAGTGTGTCCGTGGACTGGATTCAACCAGCACAGCGGTGTTGTGGTAATGCTCATACTCACTTGTATCGGCTGTAGATTATTTACCGGGTTAGAGTTTCTGTAATAACCGACACAAACCGAGAGAAACCGAGAGAAACCGAGCACCGGAGAGGTTGTCAGCGGCGTTCAGATGACCGACCGGAGAGGCCGAGTACAACCATGCTCTGTCACACGGTACCCGTGTTAGCTAGCGGGATAAAAAAAAATGTATAACCCTTCAACCAGCGGACTGAATGCGTTAAGTGTTTATTAAGAGCCGTGATACTTCAGTGGACCGGCAGCTGTCAATACCTGCTCCTCTCTCTCACATCAGCCCGGTGTGTTGTTTGTTGCTGTGTTAGCAGCATGTTAGCAGCACTGGTAGCCAGCCAGTGTTAGCCGCTGCTGGGCTGCTTACAGGTGGAAATCCACCTAAAAACTACTTTAATGTGGATCAGTGTACAGTGTCCGTGTAACACCCCACTGTCTGCCTGTGTTAAATGAGCATGGGTATTAAAGTTAATGTTTTTGAGTCGAGTTAGGCTCTGCATTAGTATCTTACTTGAACAACTATTTTATTAAGGTTATAACATAGTAGCTCATATTGTTGCTAACTGCAGGATTTGGGACAAGTTATATTAAATCTTTGCAATATGTATTCTGTGTATCATTCAAGAAGACTTGTTCAAATCCGTGATTTAAATCTGAGCTCCTCTGTCCTATGTAAATACTGTTTTAGGGTGGATTGTCCATCAGCGAAAACAGCACTGTCAGCAGTTTCTGTCTGAGCTTTCCAGAAACAACTAGTGGTTAAAGCCATAATGTTCATACAAAACTGGATGTTTTGGAGTTTAAACTACTTCTCTTAGGTGCTCTGTGTTTTGCTTATATACTGGTAATGAGTGTTACTTATGGGGCAGAGGAAACTATTTCCATGGAGAGAACTGGTTGCAGGGACCAGGATTATCATGAAGCTAAATAATTAAATGTGTTTGTCCCTCAGGTGTCCCGATGGCGACCGACATTGTTGCGCAGTTGGCCGACTCCCTGGCCAAGACTGGAGTAGAGGAAGGAGAGCTGAGCTACAAGGGCCAGGGAAGAAAGCTGGATGATGCCCAGTCAGGTGAGTGTCAGCTGTCACTGAGCTTGCTTAGTGTCCCAGAAACCCTTCCTATAAGCCAGCAAGGCTTAGTTAGATGTAGTGATTGCCAAAATACACAAAAGTCTTGGTTTTAATCATCTTTAATTCTTACGTCTTACCTGTTTATTTTAATTAGCATTACATTTTACTCTTCCTCTCTTCATTCTCAACCTGTAACCCCTTGCCCCGTTTCCCTCTCTCCAGTGGAGGAAATGGTGAAGGAGATCGAGGACTTCAAGGGTTTAAAGGCCCTGAGGTTGGAGGGAAACACTATAGGTGTGGAGGCAGCACAGGCCATCGCCAAGGCCCTAGAGACAAAGAACGAGTTCAAGGTTTGGACGGTTTACTCTGCGCTTTTTGGGTCATTCTCATTTTAAATCTTGTAGTCAAGTTCATCACCTTATGACACTGTAACACCTACACAACATAACTAAAGGTATACAGTCTACTGTCACATAAGACACAAACAGAAACAACTGTCTATCTTTTGAAAAGCTGAAACTGGGAAATGTTGCCCATTTTTTCTTGAAACATGGCTTATTAATGGATTGTTTAAATATTGGCAGGTTATTAATTACCAATCTATTGTACGGAACTTAACATAATTGTGCAAAGTGTTTTTTTATATAATAGAATATATTTAAGATTGTCTCTTGGCTGACATTGACTCTGTACATCTTTATTCTCTCCTTTTCAGTGCTGTTATTGGAGTGACATGTTCACAGGTCGCCTGCGCTCTGAGATCCCACCTGCCCTGGTAATGCACTTCTTCCTTCACATTATTGTCAAAACAAGTTAGGGTTTCCAGTCAGAACTTGTTAAATGAGGTGTTGCACACTTTTCATGTCTGTCTCTTTTCCTGAGTTATTACCTAGGTGTAACTATACGTCATATTTGTTTTGCTGCACTGCCTTACTCTTCCTGTCCTTGTGTTGTAGAATTCATTGGGTGACGCTCTGATGCTGGCGGGTGCCAGGCTGACTGTTTTAGACCTCAGTGACAACGCCTTTGGACCAGATGGGGTGAAGGGCATCGAGAATTTGCTCAAGAGCACCGCCTGCTACACATTGCAAGAGCTACGGCTCAACAACTGTGGCATGGGCATTGGAGGGGGGAAGGTCAGTCACAGGAATGTCTCCATCTACATTGGTATATTGTTATTAGTTACATCTGTACACTCGAATGTAATCTGAACAACTGTCCTGCCTCAAAGTCTACTTTTATCCTCAACAGAATTTGACACTTATTATTATTGTGTTTTTGGTTTTTTTTTCTGATGAAAAACAGGTTGACTAAGACTCTGCTCAGCGACTAATGGCGTAGTCGAATATTAGGGGGCAGCCATACAAAAATTGTTAAAAATTACAAAGAAACAAAATTATATATAAGTATATAAATGCTTTGTAGATCCTATTAAATATCACTGTATCAGGATCCTTTGATGTTTGGATGCATGGTCAGCAGAGTTGAAGACGTCTCTTGTTTATGGACTCCTCAGATCTTGGCTGCTTCATTGACCCAGTGCCATAAAAAATCCAGTGAAGAGGGCACCCCCCTCAGTCTGAAGGTGTTTGTTGCCGGGAGGAACCGACTGGAGAACGATGGAGCCACTGCCCTCGCTCATGCCTTCCAGGTACGGGACTAACTACTTCTTGAGCGAACGCTTTACTTGTAACTGATAAGAGTGTCACAGCCGCACATGATTCCCGATTGTGAGATAGTTTACTACAGCTTGCCTTCCTGGAGCCCTTTGATATTAATTTCAAATACTTATCTCAGACCAGCTTTTATGGTGTGCAACGTCATATTTCAGTTATTTGACTTTATTGACCTAGTTGTCAAAGGTACGAGTTTGTTATTTAGAAAGCTGTTGCGTTCTGTGTAAATACGTGTGACTTGTAGATGAAGTAATTACATTAAGACTTGTTTTTCCAGTTGATAGATAGGCAGCCTGGAGGAGGTTCACATGCCCCAGAATGGCATCAATCACCCGGGAGTAACAGCACTGGCCACAGCCATGCAACACAATGCAGGCCTCCGCATCCTCAACCTCAATGACAACACCTTCACTGAGAAGGGAGCTATCGCCATGGCTCAGGTACGTCAGACATTTGTTTTTGACTGTCGGCAAATGAGGGGACAGTTGCCGACAATAAAATGCTCTTTGTCAAAATAATTGGTTAAATATATAAAAACAAGAAAAGAACAAGCTGCAAAACACATACTCAAACATATTATCACCTTTATAATGTTGTTATGATGAATATGTAATGAAACCGTTGCAAACAGTCACAGTGTGCGATCTCGTTCATATTGTCCTAATAATTCTCTTTTCAGGCTTTGAAATTTGAAAATCTGTAGCAGATAATATGTGTGTCCTTCACAGGCCCTGAAACACTTACGCAGCATCCAGGTGATAAACTTTGGAGACTGTCTGGTGCGGCCAGCAGGAGCCATAGCTATTGCAGAAAGTGTATCAGAGGGTTTACCAATCCTCAAGGTGAGTGAGGAGTACACTTTACCAAGTGTCCTATATAAATAAAATAAGATTTGACTTTGATCATTTCTATATCAACTTTATTCTGAAAGGTCTTTATTTCCCTGTATTTTTCTTAGTTAATTCTTCTTATTCATATAATATTTTTCTTCCCTTCTGAGTAAATGTCCCGTTATGTTTAACAGGAACTCAATCTGTCATTTGGGGAGATTACAGAGGAAGCTGCTCTGGCTGTGGCTCATGCAGTAAAGGGCAAAGACCAGCTGGAGAAACTGGACCTAAATGGTACAAACCTGCAAAGAGCTGAAATATCAGTGATGACTTTCATCTCTAGTGCTACTGCTTTGTGTTTTATTTGTAGAGACATTGTTTAGAGATTTGATTTTTGTTTAATTTTGCTTCCTTGACTCCACTGTTTAAAATGATCTCTTTGGTTTTCAGGTAACTATCTAGGAGAGGACGGCTGCAAAGCTCTGAAAGAGTCCATGGAAGGCATGAACATGGGCGACCTTCTAGGATCACTCAGGTAATCACGTCCTACTTTATCCCCTGTGGTGTATTTAATGAAATCTGCGCCTGTCTATCCTGTTGTAGGTCATTGGGGCCTGTAACCTATTCCAACATGAACTGTGTGAGAAGCAATAGGACAGGATGCTAGTCTATGACAGAGTTAACGCACAAACACAATGCTCTATTTAGAGTCTCCAGTTTATTTGACCTCTTTGTGTTTGGACTGTGACAGGCTACCAGAGCAAAGACACAAGAACAGGAAAACTCCAGTTGGCATGGTTTATTTTCTTCCTTTGATCAGCCTTCAATGACCTTAAATAACTAATAATAAATACCATCATTCTCGTAGGACCCAAACACTGAGACACAGACCAACAAAGCTCCTTACTTCATTTGGTACAAAGTACTTTATTCTTTGAATTGCAGAAGGTACACAGTACACTTGATAATGACTGGCAGCCGTATTTATTAGAACCCAGCGTGCTCGCCAAATAACCCTAACCCTCGACCTTAAACCTGTCAAGCTATTAGGCTTGTTCTCGGAAATTTGTTACTATGGCAACCTGGATGTAAGCCTTATTTCCCCTGTCCCTGACAAATCCACCCTGTGGCCATCACCACAGATCGTGTTCACTTAGCTGTCCCAGACACTCACTGTTTTTCACATTAATCTGATTTTATCATATCAAAGATGTTCAAAATATACACAGTGGAGAGAGAGCAGCACCACTGCTATGTACACACACATCATGCACTGTGCGTAGTGCAACACCAAAACCAACTGAGGATCAGTTAACATCATCATATCATAATAATCATATTTTTAGATGGAGTTTTTTCACAGTGCCCAAATAAAAAGAACAAAACTATGCTGAGAGTTTTCTCCCACGTTTTGCTGTCATTTAATTGCCTCTCTAGCCTTTCTGTAGGACAGAGGGCAGGGCTCAGCGTACATAAACACACACTCAGAACAGACAGACAGATAGGAGTGAGTCCGTTGGGCAGTTTTATCAACTTGACAACAGCTCAAGTACAAAGTAGAAAAGCGATATTTCCCCACGCTTTGTCCGCAGGTACAACCACAGCGAGCGTGTTAATCTAATATCCCATCTGTACTATTTTTATGCCTGCTCTTAGTTCTCTACTGTGTGATGCATATAAAAGTGTTGAGGGCAGGGAGCACACACGTGCATCTAAAGAAACGGACGCATTGTGTCCCACAGTGCCGCTGTCGAGTGTCACAATCATTCAAGAAGTCTCATCCCAGAACAAAATCCTCACTAATGAGCTGTGTTTTTAATTTGCTTCAGTGACGACGAGGGTGAGCCAGAAGATGACGACGAGGACGAAGATGAAGATGAGGAAGAGGATGAGGAGGAAGTGGACGAGGAGGAAATCGACGAGGAAGAAGAAGAAGAGGAGGAGGAAGAGGAAAGCAGTGGCATCAAGGTAACAGAAATGTGATAATGATGATGAAGGCATTAATTACCTGTACATAATGAGTTGAGTGAAGTTTAAAGGGAAGTTTTATACTTTTCCTTAGTTTGTGTCGTATATAATGTTACAGTGTTGGATGTTGATACTAAATGAGGCCAAAGTGTCAAATAATGAGGTAATCGTGTGCAAACATACATATTTCCTGTTTTAGATGCTGCTAACAGGCTGAGTGCTCGAGGCACAGGCACTCCTGGCTGTCTAAAGCTCCTGTACTAGAGATGTATTGTTAAACACCCAGTACTGCCAGAGTCACCTAGTATGACAGTTAGGTTAGCTACATGGCTAACCAGTTAACATCAGCATCTAGGTAGCGGCTGAAGTAGCTTCGGCTATATTTTCATCAGGAAAGTTAAAGCAGAGCAGGCGGAGGACATCTCAGGGAAAACCAGGAAATACGTTCATTAATCTAAAGGCCGCCCTAGCTGTTGTTGTATGTACGTGTTAGTTTGGGGTTGTTATTCACTCGACTTTCTTTTCTCTCCCCTTTTCCTCATAGTTGTCCACCCCTGCATCAGCACCCCGGCCACCAGATGTCTCTTCCTTCCTCAGCTTTCCGTCCCCAGACAAACTGCTCAAACTGGGGGCCAAGAGAGCGTTGCTGATCGAGCAGCAGGTAAACACAGGGAAGGAAATACACGCACACCATTTTAACCCACAGAACTGCAACCATCTGTTAATGACAGCTACTAAATGCTAAAAGAAATGTATTGAAGTTAACATGTGTCCTGTGTGTTTACTGGATGCCGATGAGCACAAGATGCATCGGTTTGATAATGTGCATATAGCAGGGTGGCCATGAAGTAAACGTTTCTTCTTTTCTCTGTGGATAGGTGGACGTATCAGATGCTACAAAAACAGCTGAAGCCTTCCTCAAGATTGCATCTGTGTACAAGGAGGAGAATAATGATGTTAAGAATGCAGTTTTGGACAGCGTTGGTGAGATACTTTGTCTGCATTTGTTGATGTTGATTATTGTTGTGTATGCACATGCTTGATTGACGAGGAAGAAACCTTAAAGCATTACAAATTAACTAAACATTTTGTGTACCAACTTAGCTCATCTAGTGATACCCAGAACAAGTTTGGAAGCCACCTAGAAAGATTTTCTTTAAAGGTTCAGTGTTAGAGGTGCTAGTAGGTGGATTTTGTTCAGGTTGGACACAGGCTAGCTGTTTCCCCTTGTTTCCAGTCTTTATGCTAAGCTAACCTGCTGCTGACTGTAGCTTAAGTAGCGTAAGACATGAAAGTCGCATTGATTGTCTCATATAACTATTGTCAAGAAAGCGAATAAGCTTATTTCCCAAAATGTGGAACTATTCCTTTAACTTTGTCCACAAACGGCTCTGATTCATTATCTTCTAACCAAAACGAAAACATGTCTATTTGCTGAAATTCATAATTGTCTATTAATCTGCTGCTTTTAATCAATCTATCTCCACCACCACTATGACTGAACATGTGTTGAGAGATGCCAGTTAGATTTTTTCATACAATATGTTCAAAACTATTTTAGGGTGATTTTTTTTTTCCTTTTTAATGCGTCACTTCATTCCCCATTAAGAATTTGTGTTTTTTCTTTTTTGTTTTTGTTAAAATATAAGTTTGGAATAACTTGTTCTTGTTTTTTTTTCTCACAGATGCCCTTCTGAAAAAGGCTTTTGCCACTCCTTCCTTCCAAGGCTACAACTTTGTATCATCTTTGTTGGTGCTGCTTGGACTTATCAAGGTATGCTTAATCTGCACATTTTCAAGTTTGCTACAGTACAGAAGTGATTCTTTCTTCTAGGGCTGTCCCTAATATGTCTCTAGTCAACCAGTAGTCGTTAGCCAAAGCCAACAGTCGTCTGGTCGTGGAACATTTGTGATATTCATTTATTTATTTTAATATATATTTTGGAGCAGCTGCCTGTTTAATGATAACAGAAATTGCAGTAATGATTCTGAATGTGTTAGAACAACCAGGGAGGATACTGTTAATTTATTTACACACAGTATAACATCACACACGTCTAGTTGTTCAAAATATGGAATAAATAACTTCCAACTTTACAAAAACAAATACTTATGGACTTATTGATATGATGGATAATGCATAATGTTACTCAAAAATTAACTCGCTACAAACTCGCTCCTCTGCCTCTCTCCTTTTACGCTTCTCCCTGTCTGAATTCACTGTGTCTAGTCCTGGTCGAAGGCTGTGTTTGGTCCCGTCCATGGTCACAGGGAGGCTGCCCCACTCTGGCTATGGCGCTTATTTCAGCCCTGCTCCTGTGCTAGTGGTGTAAACAAACCTCCCCCGGTACTTCCCCCGTTAGTCAACTGACTGTACCCAGATTGAGCTAACGGCAGGCTGGCAGCAGCTTGTACAGTTAGCACATGCAGCAGCGCTGTGTTATAAGAGAAACGCTGTTAAAACATTCCCTTGATATTTTCATCCCTCTGACATGGGCACTACTTTTGTTTTTCTGCAAATATCCGACAAATGAAAAGTGTGTTGACTACGACTCTTCTTGTCGACTAACAGTTTACTCAACTATTAGGGGACAGCCCTACTTCCTTTACTGTCACTTTATAGTGTCTTTTCTTTCCTTTACATTTCTCTTCTTTGCGTTCCTCATTTTGGTCTTTGGTCTTTCACTCCTACTCATCCTCCCCGTCCATCCCTCTGTCCTGTCTTCTCGGCTGCTCAGAGTGAGGACAAGGTGAAGCCTGTACTCGTGGTTCCCGGCCACCTACACGCCTTGGAGCACATTGTTCAACAGGATTACTTCCCCAAAGAGGATGTGGTTGTGCTGCAGGCCTTCATGTCCCGGTAAGGGCGTGACAGAATGAGCCAATCAGCAGGCATTATGCAGGTACAAAAATACAGCAATTACCATCCCATCCTCAGGAATGAAGCTCATACATTAATGTTTTTTGCACTTGATGCACATAGTAACGGTGGCGGACACACTCTGGTGATTGCTCATTTTTGTGTTGGAAGGGGTTCACATTGTTGTTATTTAGATATTTATATTTATATTATACAATTCCAATCCCCTCAGTTTCATGGACAGACATTTTATTTCGCCCTTCTTATCAATTCACAGAAACAACAAGGCCCTAATTTCATGTGGCAATGCCAGGAAACACCTCCAGTCAACACTGAGAGAGTCAGGTCTGAGGGCCTGAGGACTGGCAAAACAGACACAACACACCAACCACACACACACACACACATATATGCACGCACACTGAACTTTGACAGACCACTGATGGACCTTTTGGAAACCAGCACACATGAGCTCATATTTGAAGCAGATAAAGCAGAGCAGCGCTTGAGAAGAACAGATTTCACACTTGGCAGTGTCACGGCTGTCCTTCACAAGCTCAACAACACACCTCTTTCTGAACTCTGAACTGGACTTGAATTCATTGTGTTTTGAAGTAGACGATGCTCTGACAGTGTGGACTAACTGAAGTGCTTCATGTACACTCATATATAACCACAGGAAAGCACTGACAACTTCATGCTCTTTGTATTCTGGTGAATAGGAAAAAGCCTAATTTCCCTTATAACCTAAGATCTGTGAGTTGTCTCCTGGTTAGATTACACTTCAGTGCAAACCATAAAAGCCCTGCCCAGAGTTGAAATGAGCTGTTGCACATTTTATATTTCATATCTACTATTACTATTCTATTGTTTTATATTGAATGTTTATTAAATTTGATAATATGGTCAAACAATGTTATTAAAGTATCTATTGACTGATGAATAATATCAAAATAAGACTTTATAGTACAATAGAACAATCAAAAGGGATGAAATTTAAATGTATATCCTGCCTTTCATGAGGCACAAGGTGGAGTGGTTTTGAATTTGTGTGAAAATAAAGCTGATTTGAATGTTTGGCTGTCTTTTCATTCCTGCTCATAAACTGTAAGTTTAAGGAAAACACTCTTAGATTTTTTTTTCTTAAAGTCTTCATTTTACAAACCAAGAATAGTCAGTTTATCTCTTACATATATCAATAAATACAGTTGCTTTCTCCCTGTTTCAACCTTTAACCTGACAGAAAATGTAAAGCCAAGGTGTTAATTTGCAGTGAGGGGGTGCAGGGATCAGGGGTCATCCCAAAAGAATTTACCAAAGCCTTGTTTGTTAGCCAGCTGGACCACAGACTGTAAGTGCAGGACACACTCAGAGTGGAATAAGTCACTGGCAGATAACTGAATCTTAAATCCACATATAATCCACCTTTAATTCATGTTACTAAGCAAGTTGTGACAGTGTAACATTCTGCTTGAAGGTAAGCCAGTTTTTTTTTTCCTTTCTCTAGTTTGTTTTTGAGGTTAGACCAGATCTTTCTTGGAAGGATTTATCACCTGACAAGCTGCCACTTTGTGTTTCTAGTTTTTTTAAACTCGAGCAATGTTCAGATATATTCAATGTTCCAAATTTAAGAGATTAAGTACAAGTAGTAAAGAATCACAAGTAGTCTGAACTGTTTAGCATTCATATATTCTGTTTAGTTATATAAGCATCCAACTTTGGTAAAGCTTCTGTGTGTGTCTGCTTACACATACAGTGAATGGAAGTTTTAACTGCTGTTTTGACTTTTTTTAACATATTTTACTGGCACAGATGCATTTCTTCTCTGCTGCTGCCTTCCTGCTGGTATTTGTGCCAAGTTTACCCACTGAAGCAGGCAAATGTCCCAGAGTGTGCAGCTGTGACAACACCAAACTCACAGTTGCCTGCGTTGGCAAGAACTTAACTGAGGTTCCCCCGACTATAGATGAGGTGAGGAACTCAAATGTAGAGTGTAGTGCTTCCCTTTCACTTCATACAACTGTTTAAGAACATTTAATGGCAACTGTGGAACATTTGGTGCATTTCAGATGTTTCTTAAATTTGAATCTTTATCCATACAAAATGAATTAGGTACGTTAACACTCACTCTTTAGCATGCCATTAATACTTTTGTATAGCTATAGCAGCAAGTAGTGCTCTACAGTAAATCAATATATTGTTCTTATCAAGGGCCTTCTTCCTGATTACCTCTGCCTCTGTGACATCCTCTATTCTGTTTTATCACTCTCACAGATTACAGTGAAACTCGATCTGAGGGGTAACAACCTGCAGGTGCTGTCCAGGGGGGCATTCATCGCCACGCCCTACCTCACCCACCTCAACCTGCAGCGCTGCAACATTATCACGTTGAAGGAGGGCGCTTTCCGGACCCTGGGCCGCGTGGTCTCATTAAACCTGGCCTACAACAAAATTGACATCCTTTACCAGGTAAGAGGAGAGGGCACAACTAAAGAGATTGAGTTGATATTTTACCCTTGCTCAAAAAGCTTCACAGGTTTTTTTTCCTCTCTCCTTCTTCTTCTCTGGGTTTGGGTTATTTTGACTCTACCTCATTTTCTTTGCAGGAATCATTTGATGGCCTCTCCTCCTTGAAGGAGCTGTATCTGGACCATAACCGTGTAGAGGAGATCCAGCCTGGAGCCTTCACGCAGCTCGGTTTCCTCAACATGCTGGCCCTCACCCACAACCAGCTGGTTTACATCCCCAACATGGCCTTCCAGGTACTCAGACTTATGGGCATAGGCATTAAATCATCATCATAAACTAATAGAAATACAAGCAGCTGCTGCTCATGCATACTGTACAGATGCTCTGCAGTGAATGATTATGTTTGGCAATATGATCCCACAACAGTCTGACTCCTCTTTCAGGGTCTGAACAACATCAAGTGGCTTCGTCTTAGTCATAATTCCCTGAACAACTTGGCCACTGAGGCATTCGCTGGATTGTTCACCCTCAGCCGCCTCAGCGTGGACCACAATGAGCTCCAGTTCTTCCCCACTCAGACCATGAACAGGTGGGACAATGTGAAGGAAAACTGTGCTTATATGTTCTCAGCAGTGTCACTAAAAATGTCACAGGTTTTTAGTATTGGCCCAAAAAAAAGTATGAAAGTAATATGTTAGCATTTAGCTCAAAGTGCCATTGTGCCTAAGTGAAGCCCCACAATTGGTCGAACACTGAATTGTCATACGTGTTGTTCAGCTTTTTACTTTATTCTCTCTCATGTCCCTGTAAAGACTTCGTGATGTCACGCGACTGGACATGAGCCACAACCCCATGACCTACCTCGGGGAAGAGTCTGTCTCCATGGCGAAGCTTACACACCTCTATCTCGACCACATGTCCCTTCAGGACCTGTCAGATCAGGCTTTGTCCCAGGCCCCCCGTCTCTCCCACTTGGACCTCAGCCACAATCAGCTTCGTAACCTGGAGCCCCTCTCAGGCCCCAAGGAGCTGGCCAGCCTCAACCTGACTGGTACAATTGTGCACATTTTTCAGTGACACAAATTTATACATGGAGGATAATAATAATAATAATCTGTCATCTTCAGTATATTCTGATCATCATTCATTAATTCTTCTTAAAGGCAACCCAGTCTACTGTAACTGCTACATGCGGCCTCTGAGGGAGTGGGCCAGTGTCCGTGGTGTGAAGCTGCTGGGAGCCTGTGTTGGACCTCCTCACCTCTCAGAGGAGCCGCTGCAGGCGGTGGCTCCTCTGGATATGCGCTGCCGCAGCCGAGGGGAGACACTGAAAGACGAGTTTGAGAAGGATGACGAGAGCACAGGAAGCACCCCACCCACTACCAAGCCCAAGCTGAAAGTCAAGTGTCCAGTTAACTGTGACTGTGATGTGAGTGTTTTCTGTGGAGACAAACTGGTGACAGAAACAGCATTTCTCTTTTGTGGGACAGATTTTGTCCACTTCCATAAGTGTTAAGTAACAGTCCACTTCAAACATTAGTTGCTTTTTAGAAAATGGCAGCAATAATAAACTGACTCAGATTTTTTGATTAAGGTGCTAGAATAAATGGACTGTCAACATTATGATGGATGCCAAAGGTATGGAGAAAAAAGGGTCAAAGCCAGACATGTTTTGTTAAGAAAAACTCCATATTTACCATATTTTTCAGCAGGTTGGAGGGTAACAAAGTGCATTTAATCAAAATCCAAATAAGGTGTATTGTTTATAATATTCCATTCTGATTTGACCCTCCACAGATTGAAGCCCAGCATGCTACATGTGAGGGTCGGGGTCACAGTAAAGTCCCGCGAGGCTTCCCCACCAAGACGCAGCTGCTTGACCTCCGCAGCAACCACTTCCACTACCTTCCTGCCAACAGCTTCCCAGGCACCAACCAAGTTGTTTCTCTTCACCTGGAGTTCTGCAAAATCCACGAAATTGAAAGCGGAGCCTTTCGGGGAATGAGAAACCTGTTTTATTTGTATCTTTCTGACAATGACCTCACATCCTTGGACCCTGGAGCCTTTGCTGGAGCCCCCGAGCTCACGTACCTTCACCTTGAGGGGAACCGGCTGGCACAGTTCCCTGGATCAGGTCAGTGGTTGGTCAAATCAAATCTGTCTGTATGTAAAGTAAAGATTTATGACTTTATAAGGTAGTTATTTGTGTAAAAAACAGGAAACTAAAACATATTTTCTGTCTCTTTGTGTCTCTCCTGTAGCTGCAGCACTCTTACCAAGTCTGTTTGTGTTACACCTGGAGCGAAACGCCATCTCTAAACTAGAGCCCACTGGTTTGCTGTCCTCAGTAACCCCTAAACTCAGGGAACTTTACTTGACAAATAACACCATAACTTCTATTGCCAAGGGTGCTCTGGACTCTGCTTTCCTTGGTACACTTCACCTGGATTCAAATCAGCTGACGGAGATGCCTACTCACGCTCTGTCTGAGGCCCCCAACCTGGAGGAGCTCAGCCTGTCTCGGAATTCAATTCGCTGGGTGGGAGCAAATGCATTCCAGCCCATATCCCAAAGTCTGAAGAGGCTTTACATGGATCAGATGGGCATGGAGAAGGTGCAAAAAACCTTTTACGCTAACAGGACATTTCCTACATCTCAAGTGTCCTGTGTATTGTGTTGATCTTTTCTTCTGTGTTCTTCCTCCCACCACCTCTCCATTTTCTGAATGAACCTTTTTTTTAATCCATCATATTATTACCTGTAGAAAAATGTGGAGGTTGTAACTGTGATTTCACCAATAAGTTGCTAAAATGACTGTGAGGCAGGGATTTTGAGTGTAGGCTTGTTGCCATTTTTAGTTATTGGAGCCAGAAAATCCAACTAAAGGGTGGAAAAGAAGTGGGACCCCAAGTCTGAGTCTAATACACACATCCCCCAAACATAACAACTCCTTAAGCCTTAACAAACTTGAAATAGAACAATAATCATCCATAAAATCACCACTAAGACATATTTTTTAACATTGAATTTAATTATTGAGACCCAAACATATTGTGGAAAGACTCTACTGCTAAGCCAGCTCACTCACAACTACACTCTTTGAGACTAAATGCTAATGCTAGTATTGTGATATGCTTATAATATTAAAGTTAACATGCAAAGGTTTTGCAGGTATACTTTAACCATATTAGTTTAACGTATATGTCATTAGTTTGCGGGCATTTGGTCACAAACCAAAGTATTGGACAAATAGAAACAGTGACTTAATGATGGAGCTAGAAAAAGTTAAAGGATCACCAAAGTTATTACAGTTCCTCCTGAGGGCACCGTGGATACATTTCATGGCAATACATCCAATAACTGTCACTATGTGTTCCCAAAAACTAAAAATGTGAAACTCATGGTGGTACTTTGCAGAAGTCAGATGATCACCAAAGTCAGTACGCTTCTTTTTTTGTAGACCACAAATGTCTGTACACATTTTTTCAGCCTTTCATCAAATATCTGTTGAGATATTTCAGTCTGGACTAAAGTGGTGGACCGACTGACAGACATTAGATTGCCATGTGAAAGCACTTTCACACTAGTTGCTGCTTTTATATAACCATTTCTGATATAACACCTGGCTCTCCCACTGAATACTTTATGCCTGTCTCTAGAAAACAAGATACAAAAACATGGGGAGAGATAAGAGAGAAAAAGAGACCAGTAACATATCTTTAATCTCTACATGGGAGCAGTATAGTATTTGATTCAAACAAAGGAAAAAACACCTGCCTTCATATCAGGTCTAATCTAGATGTGACTGTATGTGACCTCAAGTATTGGATTATATATTATTCACTACATTGAGGCCATATCCATACTATAGGTCAGAAAGCAGGACTTGTTGCTGATCAGCTCTTTAAATTGTACCACTCTCCAGATGTCCAGGGAGGCTCTTGCTGGGCTGGGCCCAGGACTGAAGGCTCTGACTGTGAGAGGAAATCAGCTGGAGGAGCTTCCTGACCTGAGCCCACTCACAGGTCTGGAGGTGGTCGACCTGCAGGACAACCCACTGCTGTGTGACTGTCCTCTGCTGCCGCTCCGCAGGTCAGTGCACAGTTTCCCTGGAATTAGGGTTTTTGCAAATCAAAGTTTGACTACCCTTTTGGGAATAACAATAATATATTGTGTACTTGTATCCCTGCTGCTGAACACATTCAACCCTTATAAACTGCTACTGCTTAGCTTAGCCAAGGAGCGAGGAAGGGAGTTTTGCCACAGGGATCAAGGAGGCATAGTTCACCTAGATGATTAACTTTTATTAAATACTACATTACTGACAATCATTATTTGACTGGTTGCTCTCTCTCTCCCCTGTCTCTTTGTCTCTGTCTCTCAGGTGGATAGAGAACGTAAGCTTGGAGGTGACCGCCACCTGTGGTCACCCTCCTGAGGTCAAAGGTCAGAAGGTCAGGGACGTCCATGTCTTCACGTCCTGCCCAGAAAGTGTCTCTCCTCCAGATGAGAAGGTTGTTGTGGCCCCCAGACCACCAAAAGTGAAGAAACCCAAACCCAGCCCCTCGAAGGCCCCTGGAGTCAAAGCTACGCCTGCAAAGCACAAAGCTAAACCACCCAAAGCGACCAAGAATAGGCCTCAGAAGAAACCTGTGACACCAAAAGTGACAAAGAACAAGAAGACGCTGTAATAAGTGAATATAACAGTCAGTCTGAGCTGCATATTAATGAGTTTCTTATTGCAGTCTGACAATGTCAAGATCCTTTTCCTTTTAAAACAAAAAACATAAAGCACTGTGTAGATTTTGTATGCACTCTTGGCTAGCAAACAGCAAAAAGAGGCAATAAAAGAAACATGACAAATTCATTTAGGTGTGTATGTGTATTGTGTTCTGCATATGCTTCAGCCTGAAAAAATCCTTAATTCAGGACTTTTGACCTAGATTTTTCTGATCTAGATATAATAAAAAAAGCTCACGTTTGTCATATTTAGCAACGTTGTAAGGCCAATGTTACTGTGCGTGTAGCAGCGGTTCCATGGTGTAATGGTTAGCACTCTGGACTCTGAATCCAGCGATCCGAGTTCAAATCTCGGTGGAACCTGACTTTTTCTTATTGTTCAGTCTTTCTGATGCACTCCTCACTTCATACTGATTAAATGAAAAATAATATACTTCTTTCAAGCAACATATTAAGTTCCTTCACAGAATGACCACATCTTAATACAAATGAGTACAATCCCGGATTAATACACCGACGGAAATTGCCGTGTTTCTTCCGGGTAACAAGCTCATCATTACTGACTAAACTTCTCCTTTCAAGATGGCAGCAGCTATGGACGTAGATACGCCGAGCGGCACAAACAGTGGGGCCAGCAAGAAACGATTTGAAGTGAAGAAGGTATGGTTGTGTAACGTAACTCATTGCCGTGATGTTAAGAAACAGTATAATCGGTTAGCAGCCCTCATATAACCGCTGACAGCGCCCACTGCCACTCACTAACGGCAGCTTTCTGCCGTTGGCTTTCTAGCGCTAACTCACTGTAGCTTAGCGTTAGGTTAGCTCGCTGCTAGCTGCTAGCCAATCTCAAACAGGGCGTGAATTTGCACTTCTCTTTTGGGGCAACAACGCTGGGGAAACTAATCACAAGAAGAATATATAGTGGTGTGGTGGCGATCGCCGTCCTTCGCCACGATGTGCTCATCGGAACCGTAAAGTCACCCTAACGTGAACGGTGGCGCTAAACCGTAACTAGCATTAGAGAAGCTAAGCTCCTAACTCTGCGAGCTAAGGTAGCCTAGCTTCGACGCGTTTCCCGGGATTGATTGACCCCAACAGAGTGAAAACAGAGTGAAAACCTGAAGTTACCGCAGATATCAGAGCAGCTTTATGGTCAACATGATCATGAATGTTGTTTACTTTCTAACGAATAACGGTGCAAACTGATTCAACGTTTAAAGAACCCCACATTAACGGATACGAGCGTTAATTAACGTTATAGCCCTTATGTTCTGATATTAATGTATTAAACCTTATTAGCTAGAGGTAAACTACTTTATTGTAGTTTTCTGTTCAATATTGATTAATGATATAACCCAGTGTGAACTGTTATCAGTGCTGGGATAACCAACTCAGTAAAATCATCCATTAATGCCTTTCTTTGTTGTGTTATCCATACTAGTTTTTTTTTGTTTTTAGGATTTCTGTGTACAAATGTCTTGTAAAACTCCCAGTATTCAGTACATTACAGAATTAGTGTCAGGGTATTTGGTCTGAAATACTTTTAATATCAATATTGCCTATCCAAATGTGATTTAAAATGTACAGGCTCATTATTATTATTAGCTTCAGTTGTTCTTCCATTGATACCAGTATTTCTTCTCTTCTGTGTCTGAAACAGTCTCTTTTAATATTACGGCACAGGAGACAGTCAGAAAATAATCTGCAATGTTGAAACTCATATTTCAGTCAAATTCTTGATCTTTTTCTTAAGATGAGGAAGATGTAAAGGAGCAGCGAGGTGTGCTTTGCCTATAATCAATCTCTAAAGCTGTCCATCAGCTCACAACTGCTTGTGAAGGGCTGCTCACTTGCTGTTTCCACAGTGTGTGCTGTGGTGCTCCAATAAGACAAGAGCAAACATGAAATTTAAATGTACTGTGAAGCTCGGATTAAGTAAACTGTGATTGTGATTTTCCCACCAGTGGAATGCCGTGGCGCTGTGGGCCTGGGACATTGTGGTGGATAACTGTGCCATCTGTCGGAACCACATCATGGATCTCTGTGAGTTCACGTTCACACAGTTCAGGACTCAGTGCTGCAGATGATGCCTGTTTTGTGAAACTGCATCTGTGACACATTTGTCTCTCTCTTTCTATCAGGTATAGAGTGCCAGGCCAATCAAGCTTCTGCAACCTCTGAGGAATGCACTGTAGCCTGGGGTGTCTGCAATGTGAGTGGCCATAACATATGTCCCTAAAGTCAATGAACAAATGGTTGGAAAGACTATTTCTTTTCAGGTTTTGTATCATATACTTGACAAAAAAAGGTATTTAAAAATACCATAATAAAATATGAATGTATAGTAGAATAGGGCTGACCCGAATACTTTGAAGCTTCAACCATTGCCATGGTAACTGGTGTCCAAATCCTATTAGACAGGAAATCCCTGTCTCATCAACCCTTTCAGAGCGCATGTTTCAACTCAGAGGAGATTTTACATTTTTTCCCTCAAAGACAGTTCACTCCTGACCGAGGCGTTCACTAGGGAGGTGAACATTATCAGTAAAAGTAAAAGTTGATTTTTCTCAGCCACCCACAAAGCGACGCCTACGACAGCACTGCTCCTTGTAATTTGTGACAAAATAAACAATAGAGCATAATATGAAGCGATATCAACATCACACAGCCCTGCCTTCAAGTGCAAAATAGTTCCCAATAGCAGCTTTTCACAAAGTCTGTTGCGTTACCAGGGCCTCATTCTTTCAGTGTGATTTAAAGACCAGCATTGTTACTGTTGTTGTATTCTCCACAATGTTTAGTCCCCACACTTCCATTACACATTACAGTAGAAGTAGTCGGACGATAACTTGTGTCCATTATTCATGAGGCTCTTTTCACAAATGTATGATGGTGTTAACAATGTTAATGGTGGGATTAGACACGCTTCCTCCCTGGTTGCATGAATAAATGCAAAGATGCATCCGTGCGAGGTGAAACATTAGCTCATATCCCAGAGCTTTATGAATCTGTCATAGACATACAGAGCTGAGGGTAAAACACACTGGCTGTCGGTCCAGTGGTCAAACTTGTGAATGAACTTGTTTACATTACTGATGTAAACAAACCTATTACAGCAGAGAATCACCAACACATAATATAAGCTTGTGTTATTTATTGGTGAAATACGATATTGGAAAGACTGTTAACATTTAAATGTTGTCCTGACCTGTGTGCTCAGCTGTGCGGTGCATATATTCATGTGTCTTTCTCTCCTGCAGCATGCCTTCCATTTCCACTGTATCTCTCGCTGGCTGAAGACCAGACAGGTGTGTCCTCTGGACAACAGGGAGTGGGAGTTTCAGAAGTGAGTATGAGTACTTTGTAGTGTAGTATTCAGGCTTTGTGGATTATTGTAACAGTTTAATGAATCAGCTCATTCGTTTGATGGTGTGAATATTTCTTTAATGAACCGCTGTACTGACAGTACGTCCTTTCTCTCTGTCATGTTTCTACAGATACGGACACTAGCTGTATTGTTGACCTTTTTCTTGGCTACTACAAGAGTCACCCTTACTGCTTCTGTTCCCTCCCTCCTGTAATCCCATTTCTTATTTTACACCCGTGTCTTTGTTTTGGTATGTTGTAAGTATACAAATAAAAATGAATGTTGTCACAAAACAAATCGTGTTTTACTTGTGCAGGTAGTCAGGGTTTCTGTTGGCTCATTGTGCCGGTTTGTGAAGCTGTGACTGTATTAGATGAAGCTGGCTGTGAACCCAGGACAGCTCCTGGCTTATGGATGCTGAAAATAACATCGTTTAACATTTGCTTTAGTTGAGACTCAAATTCACAGCTTGGTTAACAGTTAAACTACATTTTCGTGGACAAAAAGCTGTCGCCGGTTAGAGGAATTTTGTCTGTCAGATCAGCTTTGACGCAGCGATTCAGGCTCCGTGAGAGCCAGGGCCGAGCATTTGTTACAGAGCAGTAATCCTCTGGCTGGAAGACAGATGCCCTGGGCAGATTAAGTGGCCTGGTGACCCACTCTCCCTCTGGGCCTGGTTTGTACGACAGCACCTGTAGGGACTCACTTGTATAAAACCAGTGGGTTATTTAAATATTACCTCATTAGGGCTGCAAAAATGTATTATTGATGAGAGCTGAGTGAATTAATGAATCAATCAATAGAAAATAACCAGCAACCATTTTGACAATCGATTTGTCATTTGAGGGAAAAAACGTGTCAGTTTAATCTAATCTGAATAATTAGCTGCAGACCTATTATTTATTAACTGATTATTAACCGAGTCCAAAAATTATATTAAACTAATATCAAATAGAGAAAAGCAGAAATCTTCACATTTGAGAATTATTGAAGTTTAACTTGATGGGGAAAAAAGCAATTGATTATTAAGATTGTTCAGTAATTGTTTCAGCTTAAAATAAACTAAAAGAAATGTTGCGTCAGTGTTTGAAAATATTTCAAATTCGGCCATTTTGTTCTCAAAGATGAGGATTTGAGCGACTTTGACAAGAGCCGAATTGTGATGACTAGCAGCTCTGCAGTGTTCCTGGTCTGCAGTGGTCAGTACTAGAGACAGGGTCATGGGTGGATAAGGCTCACTGATGTTCGTGGGGAGCGAAGGCTGGGCTGTGTGGTCCGATCCAACAGACGAGTTACTGTAGCTCAAACTGCTGAAACTGTTAATGCTGATTCTGATAGATATTATTATAAACATTATGTCATAATAATGGCTGATAAGTGTATTTATATATTCACCTAAGTTTTACAATGGATTCAACTATAAAGCCACATATACAAGCTGCTGCTTTCAATGTACTGATTATAAAACTCAACAGTAAAAACCTGAACCCATCCTCCTGGTTGTGAATGTGCCAAAAAATTAACTCATTGCATTTTTTTTTTAAATCACACCTCAGTTTAATAGATGAGAAACATCAACAAAAATGTCATGTAAAAGGAAACAAAGACCAACTAAACTAGAAAGAAATGTCCAACCTGTTATTCTGCAACAGAGGTTTTATTATTGTGAATCATTTTTCAACCAACAGGGTCAAACATGAAGACCAGTAACAGAGAGTTCAGTTCGGTTCAAAGAAAAGACCAGTAGCTAAACCATTACCACGTATTAAATGGTTGTCAAAATGTTTGTGAGCTAGCGTCTTAATGCAGGAGCTCCCAGTTTAGCGTTTCCAGATACAGGTTAAGAAATGTCAACCTGTGGTTAAGTCAAGTCCCAGCTGAGACGAGTCAGAAGAGGTTGTCAGACCTGACTCCTAACCAACGGGTTGCTTTGTTGAGAAGTTGCTAAGTGCTAACAGGCTGATTAAGAACATTTAAAACGTTGCCCCGCTTTCTCTACATCACACCAATTAACCCGTCACCCACTCCCCTGTTTGATCTGCACACAGTGAAATAACTGTTGAAAAGCGTTGTGGCTCTCCAGATTGATTCACCACACATCCACTCTCCTCTCAGCTTTGGTCTTTCTCCTCGTCTATGGCTGTGGTGATGCTCCAAACTTGGCGCTCAGCTTGGTGACGAGGGCCATGATTTTGGGGTTGTTCTGGTACTTGGCGATGTTGGCTGGGTTCTGTGCCACGTCCTGGAAGGCAACCATCACCTCAGGGTCCTGGAGTTAAATATGGATAAACAGGGTCACCTTTATTCACACAGTGCATGTCCAAATCAGCTTTAAAGACAGCAGCATGTTACTGTCTCTTGCTTTATATTTGTATTTTGATAATTGTTTAACTTGTGAAAACTGAGGCATTCACTGAGGTATTCACTGAGGTACCTGAGAACTGGGCCAGGTTTAGTTAAGTACATGGTTCACTCAGACATCCTATACTAATAGCTAATAGGTAGGTAGTTAATTAACAATGTCAAAAAACACAATGAACAACAAAATACAGCAGTGTTTGAGGTCCCATTAAATCTTCATGTATCATTCTGCCCTTGTATTAAAATATCAAAAATGCATTTTGATATAAAAATCCCACCCACCCTTTCCTCTAGTTTTAAATTAAAATTTGAATGACTCATTTTGCAGTCGGGGGCGTTTGAACCAACCGCTCCTCCTGTCACATAAGCACATTTGGACCTAAACTAACCTGCACTGGCAGCAGTAATAATGTGGCAGTAAAGCAAACGATTCCAACCACCTCTGAACCTCAATTTAGGAAATAACTGTTGTCTTCTGGGTAAAAAAGTTTAGTTTAGCTTACTGAGTTTGCCTCTAATAGCGTGGTGCCACTGAGAGTATATTGGTTGTTTTGTGTAGACACAATCTTCTGTTTAATCTCTTTGAGTAAACAACAGGATAATGCATCTAAGTCCATCTTCTATGTGGCACTGCCAAAGGCTCAATTACACATGTTCTGCTGTGTGGAATTAAAACATGTCTCTCCCCTCCTCACCCTCCTCTCCTCACCCTCCTCACCCTCCCCTCCTCACCCTCCTCCTCCTCCCCCTGTGTAAGTGACTACATTTGTCATCAACTCTCACAAAGACCCATTACAACAACCTGTTACATGTGAAAGCAGTAGTGTGTAAAGCTGTTTCTGACTTTAGTTTTAGTAAGCCTTTAGGGTGTTTGTAGGTGGACCTTCGAACACAGCCAGGCTGGTTCCCCTTGTTTCCGGTCTTTATGCTAAGCTAACCATCTTCTGGCTGTAGCTTCATATTTACTGTACAGACATCTTCTCATCTAACTCTAAGAAAATGAATAAGCATGTTTCTCAAAATGTCATACTATTCCTTTAGGAACTGTACAACCTAAAACATGGGATGTAACAGTGGAAGTGGTGGTATGCAGAGGATTAATGTTGAGCAGTTAAATCACCTTCATGGCGTTGAGCAGCTCAGGATCCTTCAGGAAATCTCCAAGACCCGGCATGCCAGAGGGGGCTCCTCCCGGGAACCCTGCAGGGCCTGCAGAACAACGGTGAGACTCATTAGCAGCAGCACTCATTAACTGCACTTAAGGTACAATCACATCTGTCTGTTAAATCAATGATGACTCCAGACAGCTCAGAGAAAAACACTGGATTATTGTTGGCTGGAGCTGTAAATAAGATACTCAAGTGAAACTAAAGGCTACAAACATCTGACTGGAAATACAGATCGACCTGTAACTGCACACAATCCCTCCAATTATATACTTTTTCCACACTATTTTTTATTTTATTCTATAATGTTCGTCTCATCCCACCATGCAATGAACCAGCTTGTTTCTGCTCTCCTACCTGGGAAGAATCCTCCTCCGCTCTGTCGGGCTTCCTCCTCCTGTTGAGAGAGGAAAGAATGGGATGAGTTGATCAGTGTTGGAATCATGGACGCCAACAGGGAAGTGTTTGTCTGCTTTGAAGCAGCAATTGTACAGATTTTTACCAATTTTATTAATATACTGTTACACTTGACTGTGGGCAGAATAGTTCAACTTAAAAAGGACATTTATTGTATATTTTTAAGTCGAAAAAAGGAACTCACCCTCTGAGCCCGCGAATGCTCCTCTCTGGCTTTCTTTAACCGCTCTTGTTTCTCCCTGATCTCCTTCTCTTCTCTCTTGCGCTCGTATTTGCGTCTGTGCTCAATGATTTTGTTAGCCTGAACGTGAAGGGAAATGTGACAAAAGTGACGCATCGGGAAATATATTCATCTATTTTGAGCTTGCACACATTAAAATAACAACATTACAGCTAACAAAAACAAATTAAAAAAGGTTGCAATATGTTTTACCCTAGGCTGGACCTCCTTCAGCATCGCACTGGCGGACTCGTCATAGTCCAGCTTACAGGCTGTGGCCAGGTCCCTGGCTGCATCCTCCCAGTGGCCCAGCAGCCTACAGCAGCAGCAGAACGCGCACACACACACAAATGGCAGCAAGCAAAATATAGTACCGTCAGATCACCAACCAGATGGCACAAGCAGCATGGAGAGAAACCTGCATGAATTCACCAACACTTGAGGGCTTTATTACTTGGAGTCACCCAACCTCAAACCTATTTCATGTTATACCCTTTAACATCTAAGCTTGGTTGTAATCTGTGTCAGACTGCGATATCAATCTGGAGGCATGCGTGTGTATATATATATATATATATATAGAACAAAAAGCACAGACACGTCATCCATCTGCGCTGCTTAAAATGTGATTTCTTTGTCTTTTAATGCTGAAGATATTAGTCGTGGCAGCAGTTGCATTGTGGGAATCTGGTACCACGTTTAAGACCCATTCAGGATTTTGATGCAGGCCATTGGTGGCGGTGCCTCACTGTGCAAACTCGGACCACCATTTTGAATTTACCAACCAACCAAAAGATCAAGATCGATCGCTCAGTGTATAGGGGCCTTAACTCTGTGTTAAAGATATTCTACATTTTCTGTAAACTCAGACTGACACAAATAAATCTTGGTACTCAAGTAAAGATCTTGTATAGGATGTTTACACTGAGATAAATATCAAGTAAAGATGAGAATGATGAATGAAAGCAGTTAGCTCAGCTGATGAAATATTAAATGCCAGTTGCCAAACAGGGTTAGTGTGTTAGAACTGTGAGTGTTTACACTGAGGGTTTGGTTATGTCACGCATTTGTACAGGTTTGCTTTATAGTCAGGTGTTGACTTGGAAATGGACCTGTGAGCTTTTCCCCTCCACTTGTAGGGCTGTGCAGAGTCTGGGTTGATGCTGATGGCTCTGTCACAGTCTCTTATGGCTGCGTTGGGTTTCTGCATCTGGATGAAGACACTGTCAAAAAGAGGACCACTGATTACACTCATAGCCATTCATAGCAGACAGAGTAACATGATAGGTTATAAAGACAAAAGACATCCAAAGCCCGTAAATGTAACATATAACATATAACTGAATGACACTGAGGACTCTTACCTTGCCCTCTTGGCGTACAGGATGGCTAGGCAGGGATTCAGCTTGATGGCTTCAGTAAAAAGATCCAGAGCTTTCTGCAGGTCGCCTACGAGAGAAAAAACAAATCAAACAGGTTTTAGAGATTCAATCCGAGCATTTTCTATTTATCTAACGCATGCACTGTTCACTTTCTGAACACTATATCAACCTACCTTCCCCTAGAGCATTAATGGCATCCATCTTCTTCTCATTGGCCTGATCCATCATCTCCTCTGTGACCTGAGGAAACATATGGACACCGACCGGGGATCAAATAAATCCTGTCTGAAGCGTTAAAAGCTTGTTTACTTTGCAGGACCGGTATCTCCTTTCACTGTTTGGTTTCCAGATTATAGTATAGGGTCTGAATTTGAGTAAATGTATGTTTGATTCATAGATAATATAGGAAAGCTCAACATTTTACCTCAATGTTTTCAAACTCTCCCATGTCCTGTGGTTCATCCGTGTCTGGCTCGATCACTCCCTCGTTGTCGATTTCTGAAAAAGGAAACAGATAAACCCAACATTTACAACCTCTTGATGAGACACACAAACGATACTTGAAATCCTAATTTACTGGACTCTTTACAGTTTTAAAGGTCGATCATTTTTTAGAGCCACTTTGCTGAAAGAATATAAAACAATTACTGTTTCTCCCTGTTTCCAGTGTTTATGATAAACTAAGCTGCTGCCTCCAGAGTGATATCGAGCTCCTCATCTAACGCTGCATGAGAGACACAAATGGCCCTATGTAGTGACACAAAAGTAAACTAGAGTTATCCAAGTTGTGCCTTTAAGTTGGCAGACTAAGATATAAAACATATTTTAGGTAAAATGTTTACATAAATATATTAAGTTTGCTGCAAGTGTGCACCTGAACCAGACTGTAGAAAAACTGGAGATGGTAAATCTAGTCTCTCCACAGGAATCACACCTATAGACTCTTGACGGCCGAGTCCAGAGCTGCAATTTAAGAATCGTTAGTACCTATTTCACTCTCCTCGCTCTCAGTCAGCACAGAAGGCTCGGGCTCAGGAGCTGAAGCTGATTTAGGAGGAGGACCACAAGGACAGCCACCCTAAAAGTCAGAGAGCAGTCTGTTATCACACAATGATCAACTGCCAATACTATTTAAATCCTTTGTGTTTCAGGGTTTTATCTCTAGACAAATGTCAGACGTAATGCAATAACTAATTAGGAAATAAAATATAGAAAAAAACTAAGATACCAAATCACCAAAACTACACAATAACTAACATAATAACAACTTTGATGTTGATCACCTGACATGACTCCTTTGTCTTGGGTGGTGGAGGGAGTGTTGCACCCATGCTGCAATATAAAATTATTATTAATAACAATTCAGTGAGCAATACAGGGACACGATTCTTTAGATATTATCTGCTGCATAGGAAATAATGAAGATATTTTAACCTGGTTATTTCATCTACGAACATTTTCTCAATTAAAAAGGTCCACAACATTCAGGCAATGCAGTTTTTCCTGAAGCACTTGGAAAGGGAGGGTGAAGCGAGTGAGTAGCAATCTGCAAATAGATGCCACTAAATCCTACACACTGGACCATGTTCTTATTACTATATCACAAAATATATAAACACCGATAAACAATATAAAGACACGTACACAAACAGATTTTCACATTGGAGAATTTTCTTTGGACAGGAAAATTACAACGTCAAACTGTCAATGGACTATTTGAGTAACACTGACTCTTTATTTCAGCTGTACTCTACTTAAGTCTGTATTTAAGTTGATGGCAGGAGGACTTAAATGCCCCTAAGTTTATAGAAAACAATTTACTTTCTGAAAAAGTATGAATGGTTTCTATGTGTTTTGATTTAAACTCCATTGGTCGTC